ACGATCCGTCAAATACCAGAGACGAACACTGTGGTCCAAGTTATATTGGGTGAGACAGACACCTGTGAATGTTGGTAATGTGGTGCAGTGATTATAAATGTAGCTGTAAACTTGTAATTAGACGTAAGCAGCGCTAAACAAACATAGAGAAACTAGTATATAGCCACCATTGTTGCTGTTTCTGATGTATGCTCATCGCACAAAGCAGCAGTAGGCATATGTGTGATGTCATTGTTTCCCAAACACGGATACACATTGATACACTAAAACCACAAACATTGAAACAAGAGTTTTTGTTAATTACTGTTTGCATGTGGATGAGAGGCCTAGACTCAGGGAAAAGTGTGTTTTGCAAAATATCTGCATTTGTGTGGACAGGGTGTTAAAGGGATACATCTAACTTTTTTAGGAAATAAGTATATAGATATATCAATAAATATATGTGTAGAGATCTTATTTTACGCGTTTTGGCCGATTTAAACATAAATTAGATGTAACAAGTTAATTATTGAGTTTTGGAAGTCCTGGTAAGTGCAAATTCTGTTTATTCAGATAGAGCCAAGTTCAATTTGTTCTTCCCTCAGTGTTTATGTTAAGCAAAGCAAACCAACTGCTGTCTGATAAACCTTGCAAAAACAGGCAGATAGGAAAAAGTGTTGCTGATCTCTAATTTTCCATAATATCAATAAGCCTTTTTATCAAAATGTCAAAGTGTTCATTAAAAGAGGTAGTCCACTAATTTAGTGTTGCACTTCAATATAGTTGCACTTCAATATAGTTGCTTCCCACAATTTACAACTTGATGGCACAGTTCTGACAAAGTCAAAACCAGTGTTTCAATCACACTGCCCCCAGTTTGTTACACAGCCTTTAATAAATGTGCAGGCTATGACCAAATCGAACCATCCTGATGATATAATCAGGGTTGTTTTTTCAGACTTGACAGAGCTCCTACAGAGCCACAGATGACATCATACAACTCATTCAAAGAGTCGTGTTGAACTCCCCGTGACCAGTGACAGAATCCTAGTGTGTAAAAAATGGATGGGTTGAGCCGTAGATTTCATCCAAAAGTACTTTAACACTCAGTACTGTACTGAACCACAGCACTGTTAGTTTCCACATCTGCATCGCTTCACCCTTTGACCCGGCTACTCCCTCCTGCTTGCTGATTCTAGTTTTGGCAAATGGGACATTAATGAGTCATGAGACCAGGATACAGACACAGACAGATAAAACCAGGGTATTTGATGTCTTCTGTCTGAGAAGGAGCCTCACTATGTCTTGTCCTCATAAATCTCTTTCAACCCCCCCCCACCCACACACACACACACACACACACACACACACACACACACACACACATGCCCAGAGTCAGATATGACATAAAGACAAGAGAAGCATACCCAGGTAAATGAAATCATAGTAGAGTTAAATGCAGTCTTGTCGTGACAGTTTATCTCCACTATAAATCAGGTGTTTTTGGGGATGATCCCAGGTGCTGTTCTATCATTTTATGGGGATATTTAAGCAACTGTCTGCACACACAACTGATCATTATGTATCCAGAACAGAATGTTAGCAGCAGTCCAAAACACAAACAAAATGTCTTTCAAATTCTAACAAATGATTTTCTTATGTAGACTAATCAGTAAGCGACAGAGTAAGAGGAACCCCTGTGGTTCACACTAACTGATGTACAGGACAGGCTTTGTCTTGATGATGATAACAACCAGCATATGAAACAAAACTGAGAATTAATGATATACACATCACACTGTGCATCCCAAAAAGTGTCTAAACAACATCTGGATTCAGCAGTTAGATCACAGAGTAAGATGCAGGATAAATGCTGGTTGCCACTTGTGCTTTTCTTTATCCAGGAAATGAGGTCTGTGCCATGGTCTGTTCCAGCAACACTGCTGTACACTCACAATGAAGGTAGACACAGAGACACCTGGTATAGACCAGTATTACCACAGCCCTGCTGTTGGCCAAGTTGCTCCACCAGCATCCTCCTCCAACATTTTGCTCCTCAGCAGCAGACAAAGAGGAGCAGTGACAGAGAGGTCATCGGTTTGATCCCCAGACCAGCAGGATAAATCTGAGGATCCCTTAAGCAAGGTATATAACTTTGTGACCACCACACCAGACTGAAGTTGTACTGAGCAGCTTTAAAGTGACTAGCAAGAACAGATGGAAGAATAATTTGCAATAGTGTTTGATTGAGAACTTGACCACTTCTCTGAACACAGCATAGGAAGAGAACAACATGAAATCTGTCAGACAGACTTTACAGACTCAAAGGTACCAATGTGCAGACAGAGAGTGCTCTGTTTTTTCTATGCTGTGCCCCTCCAACAACCCGTTCTTCTGTCAGATTGGGGAAGCTACAAGCTGAGCATTCCCTCCTCGTGTGCCAAAGCAAACATCCAGCCATTTCCGCATGGTTTCATTTGACGTTATCTCTCTGAAAACAGACATTTCCACAACATAGTGTGCTTTGTACTCTGGGATCATATATTCTCCATTTTTGTTTCATTCTATTTCATATTAATCCAAAACACCAGATGGGAAAGGTTCAGAAAATGGTGACCACATTAAAGTCTATTATTGAATCTGAGTTAATTTCCTGTAATTGTTTGATGACTCACAGTATACTTCAGTCCCGCCCAACTGGCATCTGAGTAGAAAACAATAGAAGCACGAGTGAAGTGACAGTAGCTTTAAAATCAACAACAGAAAGTTACAATTACTGAGGAACTAGTCATAAAGACATTTTCTTTATGAAAAGAGCGGGAACCAAAGCAACAAAAACACTGATGGAAAAATACAGTGTGAATCCATGTCTATTCTATCAGAGATTATTGCATCAATGAATCCATGCAAATCACTCTGCGATCAGTCAACCCCACTGCGTCATCTGTAAACACCATTAAGGAAATTGAGATTCAGTTAACCCTCTGCCTTTCCGCCCGTCACTCAACTGACTGAACCCTGAAACTGCGACAACACCAGGGAACCTTGGATGACCACTGATAAATGTTGAACCAGATATTGCCTTGAGTGCCCCAGCAGATTAAAGCTATTTTCTCTCTGTAAGGCGACTTTGGTACCCTGAAAGGTGCTATACAAACCCAAGTTATTATTATTATTATTATTGCAGATATTGCAGTAAACATTAGCTCTCGGTCAGAGACGGTTAGGTAATCAAATGTATTTATTAGGATAAATCCCTTGAGATCTTGTTCTTTCATCCCAATGAAACAACTAAATTAAGATTATGTACAGTGAATGGAAATTAGGTTGCTTGCTTCATTTTTTAACATTAATAATAACAATTATACTTCATCCAATTTCACTTTCCTAAAATTTACATTTATTACCTTAATTGAACATGACTGCTCTAGGCAGTCCTTCAATGACAGAGGGTGTGATATGATCTTACTTGTAACAGGTTTAAAACTACAAAACATAAACTTATGCCCACAGAGGCACATGGGAGAAGTTTGCTTTCAAAATTTTCTACTAATAAGCCTCTGCATGTGGTAAATGTTGTGAAAGGTCAATTTGAACTCAAACCTTGATCTTTTCCAAAACAAACCAAGTACTTTTCTTGCCTGAACTTAACCAAGCTGCAACTAAGAACTAAGGCTTCTCCCAGTAAGCCGATGTGGTGGAAAACCCTCAGGGCAGTCATGTCCCAACTGCCAGAGGACCCCACTATATAATAAAGGCATCAGAAGGATGTGAAAAAGTGACTTAGATGGCATTTTGCACTGACATACCTGACAGTCAATATTTGTTTCAGCTTGCACTGACATAACCATGGTAAGAACCGCTGTAAAGAGACCACAGAATATTGCACACTGTCTATGGCATTCAGCGTTCAGGAATATATATTTTTTTCCCAGTCAAGACAACCAAATATACTTTATTGAAGGGATTTCTCTAACCTCAACCAAGCGCTGCGTGCTGTACATAACCATTAGAAAGTTTGGGAATACTGTTGTCACTACAAGTGGATGTTAAACTGCAGGATCAGATATTTCATGGAAAATAAAAAAAACATATACTGTGAGAATTTTACTTACACTGATACACTTGCATTTTATGATTTGTCAAATATGTTAATGAACAGATTTTAAGTACATTAATAGAAAACATGATCTAATTGCAAGTATACTTCCTGCTTAATTTTGCCAATAAGTTGCATTTAAACAAAATGACTTAACACGTTTACATGGCCAACAGTATTCCAAAATTAACCTGATAAAGCCAACAGTCTGAATAAGACACTACCGTGAAAACAGCCTCAAATAAGGACAACTACTCAGAAAGAAGCAAAAGAAGAAATAAGACATGGAGCATTAAGACCTCAGTCGCATCATGTAGACATGTATATGTCTTAATCTTGCTATTGGAGTTTTCACTGTATTTGGTGACACTGACATATAGCAGTTACCAAATGCTCGACAACATGTGCCCTGGCTTCCAGTATAAATAGAATGGCTGGTGCTAGGTAGAAGTCACATCTATGAGGCGAGGGAGAGAATGGAATAATACAAAATTTCAAGGGAAATGGATGTCATAACATTTCTGGATGGACACAAACATCAAAATGGAGATATTTTCAAAAAGGTTGTGGGAACAGGAATATAAATGGAATTAATAACTCATGTAAACATAATGATCAGAGAAAAATCTTATTCAGAATTGGCTCAAAAGTCAGATTGTTGGTGTCCGTGTTGATCCAACGCACCTGACTAAGACGTGTTGGAGTGCAAGACCTTATCATATCGTCAAATAAAGCCTCCATCCAACATTAACTGTCATGGAGTTCTTTGAGGCTGACCAGCTGTGACCAACTATCACTAAGTGGCACGGAGATTGGACACAGAAAAACGGAACACCACATGAATAAATCAGCGTTTCAGCAGTTACTCTTTAAAAGTGAATGAAGGACCACAACGAGAGCAGCAGAGTTTCAGGTGACTGACCTCTGCAGACGAGTCCGTCCTGGATGATGGTCTGTTTACAAGCGCTGCAGTGCTTGGCCTTCTTGAATGTCTTCACCCGGAACGTATGGGAATGAAGAGCCTCCAACTCCTCTGGCTGCAGGTAAGGAAACAAAAACAAAAGACCACAGAGGTGGAATGTTGGCGTTAAAACGTTGTGAGCTGATGGCTCTTCAATGAACCCAGGTGGTGCGGCTCGTTTTTCAGTTGAACGCAGGTGTTCCACAGAAATATGGTCTCACTTATAGGTTCATTTTGTATAATTGGCCATGTGCAATACATAAAATCAACACCTGGCTGCACACATAAATCACACGCATTCAAAGTCACAGTCACTTCAGACATGACCATGGTCTCGATCGTTACAGGCAGAAGTACTTCCAGCTCACTGTGATAAAAGACATAAGCTTGTAGAGGCTTAGGCAGGAAGAAAAACTGGAAAAAAAAGAATGCAGCCTAATCTCTGCTGTTTTCCTTCTTCCTTTTACCCTGCTCCTCCCTGCCCCCTCCCAACGTTTGTCCTGTCATCTCCTCTCCCTCCTGGCAGGTGCGTTACACAACTCTTTGGAGAAACTCTCCTGTGTATGTCTGCGGCCTGCTGTTTTCTCTCTTCTGCCTCACAATCCCTTTTCCTGTCTGTTTTCTAGGCATTCAGCAAAACTGAAAAGTCAAGCTTTGGAAGTCTGACTGTTTCCTCGTGTTGTGTCTTTCACAAAAAACTCTGCATCGTGTTTCCATTTTCCCCCTAATGGCTGACCGTGGGGAAACATGACATCATTCATTTATGTGGTGTATTTGCTCAGCTGGTCCCCAATTCAGCTTTGAGGTTCAGCTCTGTGGGATTAGTGGTCCATTGAATCAACAACCTTATACCCAATGTTAACATTATAGTTATTATGTTGTAAAAGTACTGAGCCACAACAGTTATATATTCCATCAAATACACTGAAATGGCATTTAACATAACCCATATGGAGAGTTTCTTTCTTTTCTTTTATCCTACGAGCCTTTTTCTTTATTTCATCTTCAGATTTTATAATATTTCCCTCCAGACCCTGCCTTCACTTTCAAATAATCTCTGATCACATGCAGATTTGCTCTGCTCACAACTGTTTTCCTCTACTCAGAGAAACTGTTGCTGTACAAATGTCCTGAGCTTCAGTTTGACTCATGCTCCTCGTGCTCAGGCTGCTTCAGTGCACTCCCCAATCTTCTATTCTCACATTGTTGCTCTGGCATGAATGTGATGTTGATGAATGAAAGTGTCACTCCATCATCATGGGCATATTCGTTTTAATTCCTCTCTTTCAAACATTTTATTTTATATTTATGCTGATAATACTTTCTCGACTTTCCAAGGTTTTGTGCCTACTTATTATTAATTTTCCCCCTGACAGCTAACCATGTTGCAGAGCTCTCAATTGAGCTCTGATATCTGCTCTGCCAGCGTCAGTTTTCAATTATGAGTGAACATAAAGAGAAGATAGTCAAGGCCCTTCAAGACAAATGACCACATGTTACCTGTTTTTCAATCTCTCCGAGACTTTACATATCAGCAGGTTCTGTAGGAAAAGTTGGTTTATTTCATGCGAGCGTAGAGAAGCAGCCTGAGCATAAGACAGAGGAATCAAACTGAAGCACGGGACATTTGCGCGGCGACTTCTGAGAAACAGTTTTGAGTAATTTGCTTGTGAGCGGGTGCTATTTAAGAGGATTTCAAGAGGAAGAAGTACAAGATCTGAACAAGGAATAAAGAAATAATGCTCCCAAAATAAAAGAGCACACTCATTAATAAAACAAAGACAGGAAAGAAGCGGGGGAATCACAAATTGACCTCTACACTTGAGAATATTTGTCTTATTTGATAGTGGTTTTTGAGAATAAACAGTACATCCAATCATCAAACAAGAGACTGGGGCAACATTATCATTAAGCCTTCTAATACATATACATTTAAATATATATATATATATATATTATTTCACATTATAACAATGCTTTTGGGTGTGTGAGGCAGAATGCAGACTCATGTGTGCATCTGCTTATATCTGTATTTCATATTGAACTTATCTGTATCTATTTCTATGGTAAACCTTTCCAATGACAGTTCAGTAAAGCGAGAGAAAATAGAATGGAAATGTGCATTTGTTTCTGTGTGTGTCTGCAAGGTTCTACGTGAGTCCCTGCTTTAAACCTAAAACGAACCTAAACATACATATGTTCTATACAGGGATAAAAGAGAGATAATGGATATGTTTTCCAGACAGGAAGTGCCAGTTTAAAATGGCGCCCTGCCATGAGGCTTCCATTAAGTGCATGTGCATGCTGGACAGGGCTAAAAGTGGCCATGTGGTTGCCATACTGAGGGACTTAGCACCGGAATTCTCATATGGGAAGACCATAGATTCACCAAGCATGGTGATGAAAATCTAGTAGTTCCCTGCCTGAAAATATTCTCAGACTTCAAACCACAATCTTATAACCACTAATGACCCCCTTTTTTCTCTCCTCTCATCAGTCCTAAAAGGCGACGTGTTGGAAAAGTGGCTCAGGGTGTGTAATCATAGCAGAGAACTCTTAAATGATAAACCAGACTGAGTATCTGCTTGTTGGACTCTGCTCGTTTCTTTCTCCACATGTGACTGTCCTCTCTCCTGTTATTAGCAGCAGGAACTGACTTAGCAGAAGGAAAGTGAAGCGATCCACTTCTTATTTCCAGGCAGTGCAGGACACAAAGCAGTCATACTGAAACCTTCACATGATTCAAGATGAGAAAGAAGCAGTCTCATCATGCTGTTTGTTATAGTTGACACCTCATTATATACAGTACCTATAACTGGTCATGAGGAATAATACTCAACCTGTGATGTCATTACTGAATCTGGGAACATCACGATAAAAGCAGCATCATGTGGTCTGCCAGCATTACATGAGGGCACGCAGGTGTTTACCAGGCAGCAGTATATAGGACTGCATAATATACACTCAGAAGAATAACACACAGGTTCACAAAGTCATCCCGCAAAAAAAATGCAGTATTAAGCGGTGAGGTAATAACTTGGACAGCAAAGTAGGCTAAATCCAGGAGAACCTTCCTGCCCAACTGTATGCAACTAATGACTTAACAAGGCTGTTAAATCCTGTCTCATATTATCATGTTGTGCTATGTGTATACCTTACAATACTATTATTCAAACTGGAACTCCTGAAATGAATTTCCTGATCGCACAGGCAACTGAAATAAGACATCTCATAAAGAGTGCTCTGGGGAGCTACTCTAAGTGCCTGAAATCACACAGATTTATTCCCAACGATAAAAGAAGACAAAAACTGTGTGCGAGTGATGATGTGTGATCAGAACTGATGATAATAAAATACCTTCATCTTGTCAAGTGTATAATGACTTTAAACACCTTGTCCTTTAATCGTGCTAAAACAGTCAATGTGAACCTGCTGGTGTTTAACTGGTGTAATGTTTAACATGTTCATAATCTTGATTTAGTGCATAACCATGCTATGAATTGCTGAGGCTGGTTTGCAGGTGTTTGGACAAAAACCAAAGTGATGGCGGGTTTAGAATTTGACCTGATGATCTGATGATGGTGCCACGTTGAAAGTTGAATGATCATTAAAGTCATTTCCCTTTCTAGATACCTTGGATACGTCAATCTATTCAGCAGCTGTTGAAACAGTATAGGCTGTATCACAAAAAAACAAAAATGTCAGCGTGGTAAATATTTTGCAAGAACATGGTTAACATGGACCCAAAATTTCACTTTATACTAACAAACAGAAACAATTTAAAATTTTAAAATATTTAAAAAGCATTGAGATCGTTCTTTAGGCTCGTAATAATACTGTATAATCATATATTATAGATTTTACACTCACATGGAGGTTTATGAACTCAAACAGCCTGATATTACCTCTTCTGTTTATCAAGCTCTATGTGACAGTTCAGTGTTTGTATTACAGAGCCACATGGCAACAGCAGGACAGCCGACCCTTCATTCCATCTCCTGGCTACGCCTTACCACTACATAACGTGATTAGCTTAATCTGGTTAGGCCGAAATAATGACTATGGCTGTGCACAGGACACGCCACGTTGGCAAGTGGGCTTTTGTTGGGAGGGGTGGCAGTCTTTATGCCTGGCATCTATACATGTTGTTATCCGAGGTGCCGCAATGCCAAGGCTCTGGCTCACACCTGCTGAGTTGGGAGTCTGGATGTGGATTTCAGGGGATTGGGAAAGGGGCGATAAGAGGGTTTAATGGTACTTTGAGCGTGCACAATGTTTGTGGACGAGTGGTTCTGTCAGTATGTATTTCAGTATTTCATGATGGACCAGTGTAATAATTCAAATATTTCTGTTATTCTGTAAACATGACACCAGGCATTGTGGAAATGGACACTTCTGGAATTACACAGTGAGCCTATGATGTGGTGACCAAAAACAATCCTCTGGTTTTACTTGTAAACTGTTCAGGAATCAGCTGACAACACAACAGGAGTGGATACTGAACGTGGCAGACTGGTGTTAGAGGAACCAGTTTTTTAATTGCTTTTGTCCGAATGTCTACTACAACCACTAAATCCAAATAGTCTAGACTAGAGTATAATGAAAAATAACATTACATACAATATATTATATAGCATACTATAGTGCATACATGCTTCTTTGTGCTTGTGTTTTCTCTCGAATTCCAGATTCCAAATCAAATTACTTCTGCAACGTGGGGCGTAACACTTTGTAAGCCCATATTGCTATAGCAACAAGCAATGTTAATCGACTGTAGATTAATTTTAGCCCTGGCTTTCCCCCACCTGTCCACACGAGCTTAATCGCAAAATTTCATTCACAAACACATACACACACACGCACACCTCCACACAACCCCCACACACCTAGACATTTTGTGTCAAACAGGCAAAATGTCTCAATTGAGGAGTCTATTCATCGGCCTCTTTGACCACTTCTGAGCCTTGTCCCACTGTCCTCGGCCTCCAGCCATTCACATACCAGGACGTATGCAGTAGGACAGACACTGATGGGGTCCAGTCATCCACTGGTTTGCCAATTGTTTTGAGTGAAGTA